GGGCGGGGGGGAGCAAAACAAAATGGTTAATATTTCTTTGAGTCATCCGAGCGGTTTTCTGTGGCCGACATGAGCAACAAAACGTCTTGTGTTGTGGTGTCGTGTTGGGTTGGCAGACCGGACTGAGGTCAGAGACGCTGCCTGCTCGACACAATGTCAGCATTCTTGGGTCAGACTGGGTTTCAGCGGTCACAAATAACACGCCACGCAGTTTCGTCCCTCGCTGTTACTTGTGTATGAAATAGTCAGAACATGGAAGTGAACGTAGAAGTGCTTAGAATAGTAAAACAATCCAGTGGCCCATCTTCTCTTTGCATTTTTGTCTCATCCTAATCTCGTTTTGATGTAGTTCCCATTCTCTCCACTAGAAGGTAGTACTGTTCTTGATAGAAAAGAGTAGCTAGGGTTAATTTGGTGCTTTACCAAAATATATAAATATGTCAGGATGACATGAAAAATAAATGACACACAAAAAATAGTACGTTATTGTGTAATAAAAAAAATATATTTCTTTAATTGATATTTTAAAAAAATAGGATGTTTACATCCTAAAAAAAAACAAAAGTCTTATTGTTGCCTAGAGAGCTATGATCTAAGAAAAATGTTCCTTATTATTCAGAATATAATAAGAAAAAAAAAAGAGTGGAAGAGTGAAGTGTCTTTATGATTGTAAAGTGTCTCTCCTGGAGGACATGAGGCATTCAGCAGTCATCAGACAGGCTGTGATTAGCAGGGAAAATCCACCGTTGATTATTCACAATGCCATTTCTTGTGACTAAGTATCTACTTGTGCAGCCATGCATGTGTGTGTGTGTGTGCACACATGCCTGTGCAGGTGCTAAAGCCCTTCAAAACATTGCTTTAAACTTTATGTAACGCTGGTGGCTCCTTCGTGCAGTCACTCGGCTCAAACATACCTGACATTGTTCAAGGCTTTAAGCGTGAGTGGTGGCGGCAGAACGTGTAAAGTGTTCTGGGGAGACCAGTTTGGCAGGAACGTTCAGGAGTGATTTATAAGCAAGCTTAATATTATATATATATATATATTTGACTGGCTGCACTCAGCAGCCGACTGCTGAAGCTGGTGTGCTGTGTGAAAATCTAAAAATGTAAATGGAGGCAGAGGTGTTAAAGGTACAGACAGACAGTGAGACATATAGGTAGACACAGAGAGAGGGAGGAAGGCTAGTGAGAAGAGCAGCAGCCCCTTTGATGTGGGCCTCTGCTGCATGGGCCCTGTGTGTGTGTGTGTGTGTGTGTCTCGCTAAGGGAAGGGGATTTCCAACCCTGCTTGGCCTCCTGTCTTTACCCCCTTGGCTTTACACTTCCTCCATGGGCTGCAGCTTCAAAACACAGGCAGCGTGTCTGTCTTTTGAGACCGTGGCCCTGCAGCTAAAAGTGACACTGGAATGATGGGAATTGTTATTTTTTTTCGCATTTGCATTTGCCACATGGGAGGCACTGGAGAGCGCTGGCTTTGTTGTGGGCTGCGTGCTTCCTACTTGTTTGATTTATGATTGATAATATTGATATGTTCAGCTTTAAATCTTTGAATCATTTCAATGCATGTATTCCAAAACAGCATTTCATCTTGAAATGATGCCTTGTTTCATTTTTAATTTGCAAACCTACATTTGCAAGCTCTAAAAACACCCTGAGTGCATTTTGACATATATGACTGCAAAACGACCTGTGCATATTTAATGGGGTTACGCTCACTCACTCACACCTTGTCTATCTGCATACGGTGCCCTTTACACACCCGGACACGCGTGCACACACCCAGATGCAGACGCGTGCACCTGATTGTCAAAACAGCTCTTGACACTCACATGTTCATGCACATGCACTCTTAACACAGGAGCATGGAAAGTCCCTGGCGCAGGTCGACTTCTGTCTGCTCGAGCTGCTCACCACTGCAGGTGGATGCCTTGATATCAACAGGCTCTGAAAGCGTATCCTCCAGCTGTTTGTGCTCGGAGCAACATGCTTTTCTTGGCAAAAGAAAATATATGAAAAAATAAGGCTCCGTTAAATAGGCATGAAAGTGTTTGAATTTTTTTTTTTTTTTTTTTTGACAACAGAAGAACCAATAATGTGCATGCTTTAGGTGAGATGGAAATTAAGCAAACTGATGTTAAGTATTAAGCCCAGCATTACATTAACTTACATATATCCATACATCATTACATACTACTAGCGCTAACATTCCCTGTAAATATATGATTATTACTATAATAATTATTATTATTTACTGCATATATAGAATACATGTATATATGTATGCACATATATACATATAAAGTATATATAACGTGTGCATATATACGTTTGAGACATACATATACATATGTACTGTATATATGCTTATACAAATATATGTATATTTGCATATATATACATATAAAGTATATATATACATATATTTGTGCATATATACATTTGAGACATATACATATATACATATGTATGTATGCTTATACGTATACAGTATACTGTATGTATATAGACTATGCATATACATATATACATATATATGTATATATGTACATGTCCGAAACATAAACTGATTTAGAAATCAAAGTCTGAATCACAGGACAAAAATGTCATTTCAAATCTGGCAAGACTTCTCAATCATAAGCATTAAAGGAGCATCCGCCTAAGGCTTGGTCTTGGCAGACGAGGGTGGGTGGTGCACCATGACTTTGTGCTGAATCTTCTAAGTGAATAATAATAACTGCAATTAATACAGCAATGAACCTAAGACAGGAAAAGAAGAATTCGGTGCAGCCTTCCGCGTAAGCGAAACTGTGCAGGTTTTACGTCCAGGTGCGTCCAGTAAATGACAGTTCCTGGATTCGTGTTAGTGCCTCGTCTTTATCAAGGTTTCCATTGGGACTGCCACATGACTAGAACTCCTGTCTGTCACATATTAACCAGTGGACACGGCACTATCTCTAATCACCGTGTCTGGCTTTCTCTGCAGCCCGACATGAGTCATTTCTGAAGGAAGTAATGAGATAGAAAAGTCCCTCAGCTGAATGAATTGGATTTTTTTTTTTTGAGTGATATTTAAAAACCAGACAGATGCAGGAAGCGGTGACTTCACTGCTGAGGTACCTCGTATATTAAAAAAAAAAAACTAAATGTTTTTTTAATAAGGTAAAATCAAAAAATTAATAATACAAAAAGCTTTAGAAAATGCCCAAAGAATGTCATACGGAGAACAAAACTGAACGTGATGTGGCCTCAATGTTGACTCTTACGAATTCTACAGGTTTGACTCACTGCTGCAACAATTCAAACATTAATTCCACTTGGAACCGGTAGCCGTGACTTTGATTATTTTGGCTTCTAAATTTGTCTCAAAAATACTGACAGATCAGTGGGTGTTTAGTTTTGCAGGGTGGAGGCCCGCTCCAGCTCTGGGCTTATAATACTACTGGTCAAAGCACAGAGCGAAACATCCCACTGCAGAATAAAGCCCCTACATGGGTGGAGTGTGGTTCCAGCAACGTCCAAATGTAGACTTTAGGTACTTTCCTCCCCATCTGTCACTCATGCTCTCAGGTCATATGAGCAGTGAAGAGTGCGT